TTCCAGAGCCACGAGCCCGAGTTCGATTACCTGAAGAGCCTGGAGATCGAGGAGAAGATCAACAAGATCCGATGGCTGCCGCAGCACAACGCTGCCTACTTCCTGCTCTCCACCAACGGTCCGTGTGCCGGCCGGCTCGTGCGGTGCGCACCACCGCGCTCCCGCTTCACTTTGGTTTTTAGAAAAGCAGAGGGATTTGCTTCAGTGTGCAAAAGCTTATTAAACTCATTTCGGGGTGGAGAGAATCATTGAAAATGTAATGAAGATCAATTACGGACTATAATGTTCTGCTAATTGAGTTTTTAAATAGCTTTTTGATTACCAGGGATATTACCTTTCCGTTTGGGCTGGTGTTGCACATGCGGATGTATTACCAAAACACCTCCTATATTCCCATGTCGTGTTGGTTCCTTTTACTCTTGCTGCTAAAGCAACCCCATGTGCAGCATCGCCGTCACAAAATGGGTTAATGAAGCCAAATTAATAGCAGTGGGCTGGAATTAGGGTGCAAGAGAGACGCTGGGATGGATGTTAGGGCTCTGCACAAAATCTAGCCGCAGTGGTGAAGGGAAAAACGGTCAGTCCGGACGACGGACGGTGATAGAGGGGATGAGCGATGGAGGGAATGGAGGGAAAGTGCCACGAGGGAACAAAGGTGATGGAGGTGACACCAGGAGGAGGTGGTATGGGGCGCTGCAGCAGGAGCAGGATTTCCCCACTTTCTAGGCGTTTCCGCTGCCAGTTTGTGTCTCGGTGCAATTTCTTGCGCATGTCACCACAGTGTCACTGTGTGTCTTGCCCGCAGATAAGACAGTGAAGCTGTGGAAGGTGAGCGAGCGGGACAAGCGCCCCGAGGGCTACAACCTCAAGGATGAGGACGGGCGCCTGCGGGACCCCTCCATGATCACCACGCTGCGGGTGAGCACTGTCGCGTGCAGCCCGCAGGCACATTCCTGGGCACTGTCACCCACAGACACAGCACGGCGCGGTGCAGCAGCAGGTCGCTCCATGCAGGCATGGGCACTCTTGGATAAATTGTTGTGCTGTGAGTGCAGCAGCTGCTCTGCTGCCAGAGAAGCATTTGTGCCACAGCAACAAGATTTGCTCATTTTTTACGTTCTAAAGATTTGCTGATTTTTCACATTCTCCAAACCGTTATCATTTAAATGACAAGGTAGTTCAGAACAACAACATGGCTATAAAATGCACGTGGCAGAACTGATCACTTGCAAACGAGCAGCAGCAGGCCGTGGCGACGGGGATGAGGAGGAAGGGAAGGCTTTTCCCGTTCCCACCACTCAGCGGGATGGCCGAGCTGCCCCGCGCACCCACCTGGGCTCCCGGAGCGAGGGCAGAGCCGCGGCGGGCGCTGGGCCTGGCGGGACCGCAGTGCTGCGAGCGGTGCCTCCTCCCAGTCACAGCTGCCCGAGAGCCCCGGGAAATTAAGACACGTCATTCCTAGATGAAAAATGACTGGCATCCCTCGCCCTGAAAGCACAGGGTAATTTAATTTGTTAGTGGTTTATTTTACTTGACAGCCTCACTCTACACTGGATGCGGTTTGTTACGCTGGATTACCCTTTAATGAGGGCTGTATATGTATGTGTGTATATACATATACACACACATATGTGTGTGTGTGTGTGTGTGTGTATACATATGCGCAAAGCTGCAGCTGGCAGGTTGGTGCCAGTGCCGGTGCTGCGCAGGTGGGCTGTGCTGACGCCCGTTCTGTCGGTGACGGGGCCC